AACATACATACATGTGACAAATACTATTGGTATCGGTATCGGATTCGACCCGGAACTTGTTAATTATCTGTATTAATAATTATGTCGAAAACAAAGTGTAATTTTTAATCAACACCGTTGTCCTTTATTAGTTATATATAATGTTGAATTCTTTTATTCGTCGTTTTTCCGTCATGCCGGCTAACAAACTGGACCTCGTTATTTTAGTAGTATAGATAACACAAAAAGTTAAAAGTCAAATAAAAATGATTTATTACAATAACACAAATGGTAATAACCAAAAACTTGCGTGTTCGTAGAAACAAAAGTACTTCCGTCTGGATTTGGTTATTTATTCTTAGAAACTATGATGGTATATCAATAGTATGTCAATCTTATTACATGCATAGTATCAAACGTTTCATAGCAATAATGTATCTATCTAACAGTTATTTTGTAACTTAAAAACATGTTCTATAATTAATGGAAATTATACGTTAGTGAAACAGCAATCTAACAACACAAAAACCAAAAAGACATCTAGAGGTCATCATAGCCTTCGATATTAAGTAGCTCTACGGTATGTCAATCTTAAGTAGCCCTACAGTATGTCTGAATATCGATTCCTAAAAAAAATCAACAGATACTACCCATGAATTGCCATAAAAACCAAATTTCCGAAATGATAAAATTTTGATAAGAATTTGAAGTTTAACCTTCATGTGACTTTTGATTTTATCTATTTTTTTATATTTTGGCCTCGGACATTACTGAAGAGACATTTTAAGTCGAATTGCGTATCTAGTGCTGTAAATATTATTATAGAAATCCTATTATTATAAGATTGTTTTTGGATAAAGTATCGATTCACTCATAAAATCTCTGAAACATTACATATTTTATCTTATATAATTGGATGTATGCATGTGATAATGATAACAATGACCATTGCAGTAAAATCGTCCTGGTCTTCTGTGGGGATAATTTTTTTTTTAATCTGTCATTTGTGTATAGAAGAAAAGCAAAGGTCTACTTATTTGTGACTTTTACGAATAAACACTTGAAAAAACGTACGAATCGGCAGTTAATATCTATAAAGAAATATCATAACCGTTAAACCAAACAAATCTCAAAAAGATTATCAACAATCTTATAAATGTTCTGGACAACTGTTAAAAATATTTGTATTCTTCTTTCTCTTCGGGATTGAAAAGGCTCCGATTGAGCCTCAATGTATAATGATACTAGGCTTGCATATTTTGATAGTCTCGTTACTTATCTTGCTGCCATATACACGTTTGGTCTTATTAAAGTTTTCTTGATTACAACCATCCAATACAATTGAATACAGCAAAAAAAAAATGTTTTGTGTTTTCTGACACTTTCTTGCAAACGGTAATAGAAAAACAAATACTTTAACAACAAAAAATACCAGCATTACAAGATCTTCAATTAAGTTAATTTAATTGAAATTGACATACTATCTTTTGAGTTTTATGATTATCATCTTCAAAGCTTGCATTTATAGACAGAAATGGAAAGAGCAAATATTATCCACAATACAATATCTACAAAAAGGTTACCTGATCGAAATCATAAAAAGACTCCTGATTGGAGTAATTACCCTTAAATGACATATTGAACCATTTTTTTTTATAATAATGTATCACTTTGAAATTTAACAAAAGAATGCGAGAGAGAAACTGTAACAAGCAAAACTAATTACCATGTAGACAATTCTAAATAAATTTTTTAGTCAATATGACTATCTTTAATAGACTACTTTTACACATTCCCCCCTTCTATTTTGAAAAGCATATTAGACATAGAAAAATTATACTACAATAAGCAAGACAAGATCTTTAGGGCACAAACATGACCAAAATCATAATCGACCCTTTAGAAGTGTTTGTCGATTCTGGCTATTAATTTGAGAACTAAAAAAGATTTGCGAAAATTTTATTAAAAAAAAAAATTGACCTTAATATTCACGGTGTGTTGACATTTCTCAAATATTTGTTGTTGTTTTTTTTTGGTATACAGGTAAACAATGTCTTGTTAGAGAAACGTGATTAATATGTACTAGTTCTAAACATTAATAAAGTTTACACTAATAAGAATTACAGTGTGAATCCAGTGCAAATTAATTTCGTCATATATTATCTAACATACGATATCACCCAAAAACAGTCAAAATTAGAAAACAATATTTATTTAAAAAAACAAACCTTGTATAGAAACAATAGTGATGTATAATTTTGGAGGGAATGACGTATAGTTGTCTCAAATGATACGAGATTTACACATGATTTTATCATGTAAAACTAATGAATTAATTTGCATTAATGTAGACGAAGTGTGCATTCTTGTTCTATAGATAATTAAATTCATATATTGATTTTTGTTTTTTAAGATTCAATTTCTTTCAATTGTTTTTACTTATGATATTTCAATTGTTTTCACTAATGATCAGCCTTTTTTTTTATTTGCAAATTGTTTTCAGCTGGAATTCATATTTTTATATTTAGATAATCATTATTATCAGATGTTTTTTAAATTATTTTAAAGCCATTTGATCCTTCAAAAACACATAAAGATGAACATGTTTTAAATAGCCAAAAGACTAATTTTTATTAGCTCACCTGACCTGCAGGTCAAATGAGTTATTCTCATCATTTGGCGTACGTTGTCCATCATCTTCATCGTCGTCCATCGTCCGTTAATTTTTACAAATATTTCTCCTCTGAAACTACATGGCCAATTGAAACTAAACTTGGCCACAATCATCAACGGGATATCTATGATAAAAAAAAACATTTCCAATAATACCGCTTACCAACCAACATGGCCAACAATACTAAAAATAGAACATAGATGTAAAATGCCAGTTTTGACGACTATCTTGAAAAGCGCTTTAGATAGAGAAAATCTGAAAGGTGCAGAAATATTCAGAATGCGGAGATCTATCTACTGTTCATTTACATCAAAACGGTCAGCCGACTTCTGATAGTAGTAATGTCCTTAAATGACGAATTTGACCTTTTTCATTTTTGTCAATTATCTTGAAAACTATTATAGATAGATCGAAATGTAAATAGCAAAAAGATGATCTAAAAATAAGTTAACATTGCCCAATTCATAAATCAACTCCTTATAAGAGATATTGCCCTAAATGATGATTTTCCAAAATGTTTGCGATATTCTTTTTTATCTTAAAAAACTATAACAGATAGATAAAAACTTTAAATTCAAAAATGATCAACAGGTCAAGGTCTACAAATAGGTCAACATAGCCGAAATTGTCAGTTGACTCATTATAGGAGTTATTGCCCTCATATGAGGATGATCACTTTTTTTTCTTTTCGAGTAAAAATAGAGAAAATAGAGAAAGCCTGTAAACAGTAATCATTTTTCAGCAAGACTCGATCAACTTAAAAGAGCGTTTAAAAATCATGAAATATGTTCTAGTCAACAATGTTGGATAGTTGCCATTGTTGAAGATACACAAAAATACAGTTAATAAGCCTCTAGTATTGAAACTCGTCTACATAGACTTTTTTTTTAAAGAATCCAAATCTCTGGGTTAATGTATTGCTAATAAATAATGATCCTCCCGTACCCTAATTTGCCGATAGCGCTTCCGCATGTAATGACCTTAACACAGCACCTTTCGTTAGCAATTCAGGAATCTTACTCGACGAGTTCGAAGGGAAAGACTGTGATGGAAAAAAAATAAAACAAATGTGGAAAGAAGATAGTACTTATCGTTTCTGAAGGAAACTTTTCATTCAAACACCAATTCCCAATTCATTTAACAACTGTTATTACAAAGTTCAACTAAACCAAACGGAAACTAAGGAAAATTTTAAAACAAATTATTATACACTACTTCGCCTGAATATTCACGATTCTGATTTTTTATCAAGGTTACGATCGGTAATAATTCAACAGTTAAATAACAGGCAAAGTTTTGATCATCAGTTACCGAATGGATTTGTTTTTGTCGTGTACATGTTATGGATTCATAATAATTTAAAACAATGCACATATGACTTAGTGTAGCATATATGTTTCGAATAATATGTTACTAATGCCATACATCATATGCAGATCTATACATTTCTAATCACATCAATTTTAATTGCTAAACAGACACCAAGCACATCTATTGTTTAACATTTGTTACTTATATTTTGGCTTTGCAAAAGGTCATGCGTTTCTCAGACTGTTTATGACGTCTTTACACTAAATCCGTTGGATATATAAAGATTGATACTCTAGTCTTTTAGTCTGGAAGAACATGATTTGTATATTTGTATTAATTAGCTTTGAACTAGCTTTCAAGACCCATTTGTGGTCTTCAGCTGTTTTCTACTCATTGGTCGAGTTGTTATCTCTTTGACACATTCCCCGTTTCCATTCTCAATTTTATTCAGTAACTGCGAGTACTCTTATATCGGTGCTTTGTGTCTAATGTTTTTATGTTCTTTGATTTTGTGCGTCGTACCGATCTTTTGAGTCAAGCAAATTGCAACTGATTTTACAGTTTGTTTTTTGGTTGTGCTGTAATACGACTGTTCCAAGTTAGGGTAGAGTTCACAAACATGTGTAACTCATTACATTTTTATGTGCCTGTCCCAAGTCAGCAGCCTGTAGTTCAGTGGTTGGCGTAGAATTATGTCTGTCATATTTGTTTTTCGTAAATTGTTTGGTTATGAATTAAACTGTTAGCTTTCTCGTTTGAATTGTTTCAAATTTGTTTATGTCGGGGTTTTGTATAGCTGACTATGCGGTATGGGTTTTCTGATTGTTAAAGAGCGGATATATAATTGCTTGATTGCTTGTATCCACTTATTTGAACTCTGGAAGACAGTGGTTTCATTGGCTATCATAACACATCTTCTTATTTTTATTCTATATGAATAAACCATTGTATTCAAAATAAAACACTAAACTCTTGAAAGTCGTAATAAATAGTGTATTTACCTAACATATTTAGTTCGAATTAACTATTCATTTGATGTTATGTTAAAATATATTTTGGGAGTCATAGTTAGGATGTTCACCTTCATACTGTGTACCTTGTATACTGATAACGCAGGTAGGAAATTGTAATATATTATAACACTACAAGTTATCCTTTATTTCATATCACATCGTACCTTGAAAGGTGATTATTCAAATACAAATGATTTATTACAATAACACAAATGGTAATAACCAAAAGAGCTGTTAGAAAATGAAAATAACACTTGAGAAGTTTTCGAACATCATTTGTTTAGTCATCATTATTATTGCACGTTACAAATGCGTTTATTTCGTGTCCGTAGAAACATAAGTACTTCCGTCTGGATTTGGTTCTTTTTGTGTTAAAGTCTTATTCTTAGAAACTATGATATATATCAATAGTATGTCAATCTTATAACATGCATCGTATCGAACGTTGAATTCATAGCAATAATGTATCTACTGTAAATTCAGAAATTATTGCGTGCATTTATTATTGCGATATTTGTGAAAAGGACAAAAATGCAAGATTAATTATTACGATTGTGGGAAATCTGCATACAGTTATTTATATCAGATATCAGAATGCGAGTTCTTATTATTGCGATACTCACTCAATCGTATTATTCGCATTAGTAAAAACCTCGCAATAATTTCTGAATTTACTGTATCTAACAGTTATTTTGTAACTTAAAACACGTTCTGTAGTTAATGGAAATTATACGTTATTGAAACAGCAATCAAACGAAACAAAAACCAAAAATACATCTAGAAGTCATCATTGTCTTCAATCTTAAAGTAGCTCTACAGTATGTCTGAATATCGAGTCATAAAAAAATCAACAGAAACTACCCATGAATTGCCATGAAAACCAAATTTCCAAAATGATAAAAATTTGATAAGAATTTGAATTTTATATAAAACAAACTAATTGACAAAGTTTAACCTTCATGTGACTTTTGATTTTTTTTTTTTTTATATTCTGGCCTCGGACGTTACTGAAGAGAAATTTTAAGTCGAATTGCGCATCTAGTGCTGTAAATATTATTATAGCAATCCTATAATTATAAGATTGTTTTTGGATAAAGTATCGAATCACTCATAAAACCTCTGAAACATTACATATTTTATCTTATACAATTGGATGTATGCATGTGGTAATGATAACAATGACCATTGCAGAAAATCGTCCTGGTCTTCTGTGGGGATAGTGTTTTTTTTTTAATCTGTCTTTGTGTATAGAAGAAAAACAAAGGTCTACTTATTTGTGACTTTTATGAATAAACACTTGAAAAAACGTACGAATCGGCAATTAATATCTATAAAGAAATATCATAACCGTTAAACCAAACAAATCTGAAAAAGATTATCAACAATCTTATAAATATTCTGGACAATTGTTTAAAAAATATTTGTATTTTTCTTTCTCTTCGGGATTGAAAAAGCTCCGATTGACTCTCAATGTATAATGATACTAGGCTTGCAAATTTTGGTAGACTCGTTACTTATCTTGCTGCCTTGTACACGTTTGATTTTATTAAAGTCTTCTTGATTACAACCATCTAATAAATCTTCTGACAAAAGTGTAACGTAAGTTCAAGGTTCTAGGTTCTGTCTGCTGAGCTTACATATAAGAGGATTTAATATGTATCTCCTAGTCAATTAAAAAACATTGTATTCACTACATTTGGATATGAATTTGTAAATTAGTATGATGTAGACCATAAAATAAACTTATCAGCATAAATTACCCTATCGGTGTAATAAATCTACCACAATTTAATATCTACAGTTTTACTGTAGCTACGATCACTAAATTATGCATTAAGGATGTTCGCTACTCTGTTTCAAAGTAAAAAGCTTTTTAAAAGACAATTATACATTTAAAGTTTATAAATAATTGAACTTCAAAAGCAGAAAAAATAGTTAGTTAATAGAAAATTTGAAATGATTCTCTCTAGATTTTTCGTTTAAATTAACATTGGCTCTTTTTTCTCTCTCAAAAACTATGAAAAAATTAACAAGGATTTTATATGATTTTCAAAAATTGCCTTTCAAACTATATGAAATAAAATTATAAAAAGAAAAGTAGGGGTCAGCGGGCAAAATTTTTGTTGGCACTACATGGATAAAACTAGAGAATTCCAAACATCTGACAAAAAAGTCAAGAACAAGAGTAGCGAACATCCTTAAATACAAATGCAGCTCTTATTAATGTTTTTCCTTTAAGTGAATAAATATATCTGGTGAAAGAAAACGAAGTATTTTTTCCAGCAGAAGAATGAGTCACACAGGATCAAAAGACAATACAATCATTCACGAAGATGAAGGAGTACCATTGAAAAGACGATTAGGATTCGTTAGTGGCGTGGCATTGATAGTAGGAACTATCATAGGTACGATATAATATAAATATGACGATACCTTTTTTCTCTCTATTACTATCATAAAATGTCTATATGCTGAGAAACAATAATCTGAAATTTATAATATTTGATTTTTATTTGAGCATTTTCTGTATCAAAATGATTGTTTTTTCATAGTTTTTTTTAAAAGATTTATTGGATACATATGACCTATTTTGATATTGTCGAGATGCTAGGGGTTATATACAGTTCTGTACTTACTAGATTGATTTGGACAATTTACCAGAAAAAATCTATGTAAAATATGTGAATAAGATATAAACTTTTAAGATACGAAGCAGACTTGACTGTATCTATGGTATGAACCATAATTTCTAGTTTAAATAAAGGATGCCACAGATACAGGTATAGAATTAGGTCGGCTTCAAACACACGCCATCATGATTGTGTTGACAGTTATGGAATATTTGTGTCACATATGAGTTCGGATTTTTTCCACATTTCGTATCCACAATACCGTTTTCCTTATTTCTTTATGACCTCATCCAAAGCAATTTTCACCGGATTTACTTGCCAATGACACCATGACAGGTTCCACTTAAGAAGTGGGAACTGCTTACATCAGCTCCTCAGTTTAATCTAGTTTTTTCCGTTTTTTTTGGGGGGATTGAGGGGGTTTTCATATTGCTCAGTTTTCAATTTTCTGTGTAATGCTTTGTGGGCCTTTGTTTGTCTGTTCGTCTTTGGTCTTTTTGTCTTAATATTGTCTTTTTTTTTTATTTAAACAAGAAATAATGGTTCATACCATAGATACAGTCAAGTCTGCTTCGTATTTTACAGTATATCCTTTGTGTGTCGAGCGTGTAAGAATCTCACCCTTTATAAAATACGATGTGGTATGATTGCAAATGAGACAACTATCCACCAGAGCCAAATGACGTAGATGTTAGCAACTATAGGTTGATCACCCGCCAAACGATTCAAAAGTCACATATTGTAGTAAGTATCAACGCAAGTGACTTCAATTTATGCATGGTGGCAACCAAAACCGTAAGAAGGGATAGTTTTGTCGTTTTTTTTCGTAACCTTGTAGGAGTATTGTTTTTACCTTCTTTGTCTGTAGAATCCTTAATACAATATCATAGGAATAAATGAGTACTCCATGAATTGAAGATTGTTGAGCGAAAAGATATGATAAAAAGGTTCACATTTTTTTTTTGTTCTTACGGATTTCTATTAATTTTGTTTCTATACCATATGTATCTGTTTTTCATTCACCAGAATTCTGTTTGAATCTTTTCTCTCACTATTATATAAAATCCAAAATATTTCTTACAATATAAAATGAATACACCAATGATTATAACTTTATATATTATGTCAGGCTCTGGTATTTTTGTGTCCCCAAAAGGAGTCCTGACGAACACAGGATCTGTAGGATTATGTTTAATCGTGTGGTGCATCTGTGGAGCTGTATCCCTTGCAGGTGAGCTAGATTTTATTGTCTCTTTTATCATTTTGTAATCATACAAAACTCAGCTAATTCCGACGCAATACAAAGACGGAGACCTGGAATCCAGAAAGATCTGATTCAGAATAATCTTGTTCTGCATGTAGATAAAACACTTGTTTAAAAAATGTCCAGGTCTAATTTTATAAAGGGTAAATTAAACAAGATAACAATTTGACATACATTATAAAGTAGATAATTTCAAGTAATGACAATTAAGAATAGAGAAGGTGCTTTACATCTTCGCTTACAGTCTGATTGTATTACTTAGTAATTCGACAGTGTTCGATTTACCGTTTCCTATGAATATACTGAATGCGAAGGAGAAGGGATGATAAGGCTAATTTTTTAGGCCCTTTAATTCGAAAATCGAAAGCTATTATAAATCTTCAATATAACAGACTTACTGCGACTTTGAGATGAAGAACAGCAATAAAAGCGCTATTCCTTTGCTTTTTGTGTGTTTTACCCAAATACATATTTTTGCTACAAGATTTTTTTAGAAAGATGCAAATGACTGTTAACATTAATTTACAAAACGTATGGTAATTTCAGCTGCCTTAGTTTATGCAGAGTTGGGATTGTTGATTCCGTTATCGGGAAGTGATTTTTCCTATATGCTGAAAGCATTTGGAAGTTTTCCAGCTTTTATGTATACGTGGACACAATTGTTCATATACCCGGGAGGTCAAGTAATCAAAGGATTAACAGTTGCGCAGTATATTGGTAAAGCAGTATTTGACGACTGCGGACCAACTGATGCCACTCTAAAGCTTATCGCTGCTGTAGTTATTTGTAAGAATATTTTATTATTACTTGCATGTTCTAAAAACGTCAACCAATAAGGTTAGATATTAGGTGTCCGGTATTTTTCATTGAAAATGTACATGCAATTAGTGGATAATAAATGGAAACCGATATGTGTCTTTAGGGATTTTTTGTTGGTGCTAGATCTTTTTCGTAATTATTGAGTTTATTCTCAATTTTTCTAGACCAGGGGTGGATCCAGGATTTTGGAAAGGGGGGCGTAGTATGTAAAATTTGCCGAGCAGAGCGAGGCGAAAAATTTTTTGGACCTTTTTTGGGCTACAAAACATAAAATAAGTGTAAAATGCACATTTTTAGTGACGGTTCCTAACGTGGGGTATGCATATTTTATAGTTAAAGTGTAAGCTTGGGTTGGACATTTTTGATGCTGCATTCTGCCCATTAGTTGTCTATTATAAAATGATTGAATGGATCTAAAGCTATGTACTAATATATTTGATGTGGGATTTGTCAGTAAAAAATGGACATGGAAAATTCTCGTTTGTTGTATGGTTAGTTAGCATAACCTCACAGATTACTTGTTGTAAACATGATATACGGCTTTTCAATGAAGTTTATAATACGACCGACACGAACAAAGACAAACAAGCAATTTTTATCCAAATGTTTGGTTGAAATGTTTCACTCAACAAGGGAAGTGAGGGGTCCAAATCAACCAACGGCTACGAATGAGTCTGAAAATCAAATGACAACGAAGTTGTGAATGACGGTCGACAAATGGAGACACAAAGGCCACACCCAGCAGGCAGGTTGCAGTTGGGCCTTGAAAAAAGTATTCAGTATATCAGTTCGGCGAAACAGACATTCCGGTCAGATATGGGATTTACATGCAAACCCCCCCAAAATAAATTACGCCCGTTTTTCATTCACCATGTTCATTTAATGCTGAATAATTCTGTTGGATTTTTTTTTCTTATAGCAAAAAAGGGGACACGATAATTGTTTTCATTACAGATACGGTCAGAATTTTTGTTTAAGGCAAAAATCAGGGTCAGAATTTTTTCTCTAAAATATCTCAGGCTGCCCTATCAAATCAAATGGTCCGTACCTTAGACTTTAAATATATCTAGAGCTTACTGACTGGGGATCATTATTCAGCAATGTTATTAATTGGCTGGGGCGTGTGGGGTCAAACATATTTTCGTAGGTAAATAATATTGCCGTGGAACTTTTTTTTTTTCATGAGAGTGTAATAGAGTATTACTTTCTGTTGAGTGGAAATATGAAATAGAAGTCAATACGTTCTTGCTCAATCCTTTGTCGCTTTGAAGGCGTCATGCTTGTCATCCTCCGCCTAAGCAATGTGTTACTGTAATTTGAATTTCAAAATAACTGAGTGACGTTTCAAACGTACTGATCAACTCCACCGTAGCGAAAGGGTTCCGGTAAAGTGAGAAACGGAACAGAAACGAAACAGAGCGAAACGAAACGTAGACTGGTTCCCGATCGCAATATTCAGTATGTTACACATATACCAATATAACCTCGTGACAGCGTATTGCTATTAGCTAATACCTTGAACGTAGTACCGGGAACCAGGATAAACGAAACGAAACATGGCGAAACGAAACGAAACACGACGAAACGAAACGAAACATGTAAATTGAGAAACGAAACACTACGAAACGAAACAAAATCTGTATTTTGAGGAACGACATATAAAAAATCTTCCTGACGAGATATGTGCATAGCCGAAGACACCGAATATTCCATTCAACTTTGAACAAATTACTCGTCACTTACATTGGTATCTTCGTGCAATAGTTGCAATTAGTCAACTTGTTTTGTTAAATGTGAGGCTTAGGTGCGTCAGCTATGCTACAGAGCCTGTTCAAATATCAAGGCTTCTTGTCACGTGCAACAATGAGGGAACATTGTAATTAGAATAGCTGTTACTGGGGATCGTCTGAATATCAGCCTCAAACAAAATTGGTCATTCTTACCTTTGTGACTAGGATTTTTATGTATCGCCTACGGTAGTGGGGCATAATCTCTTCTGGTCTGTGCTGCCGTCCGTCAGTCCGTCCGTCCAATACTAGGTTTATTCTGTTTGTTAAGATAGATTAAATTACAATGGAGTTGTGTTCATGTCAACTTGAAACTATAAACATGTTCATTATGACATGTTCTTTTTGAAATGTATGCCAAATTAGGAATTTGAACCATAATTTGCGATTCAATGAACATGAAAATTTGATATTTTAAGCGAGTCATACTGTCCTATGGATACTTAACACATGACATGAGTAAAATCTCTTTGTTCTTACTGTGCTATAATCTGGATAATGCACAGCAAAGGTTTGCATTTACTACCTCAGATATACTGCACAGTTCAAAAGTACTCTTACCTTTAGGGGCGGACCCTCGATTTTAAAGGAGTGTAATTCCATATAAAATTTAAAAAATATCACCGAGTGTACATGTAGCGAATATAAAAAAGAAGATGTGATATGATTGCCAATTTGCAACTCTCCACAAGTGACCAAATGACATAGTAATTAACAACTATAGGTCACCGTACGGCCTTCAACAATAAGCAAAGCCCATATCGCATAGTCAGCTATAAAAGGCCCCGAAATGACGTACAAATGTAAAACAATTCAAACGAGAAAACTAACGGCCTGATCTATATACAAAAAATGAACGAAAAACAGATATGTAACACTTCAACAATTGACAACCACTGAATTACAGGCTTCTGACTTGGGACAGGCACATTCATACAGAATGTGGCGGGGTTAAACATGTTAGCGGGATCCCAACCTCCTCCTAACCTGGGACAGTGGTGTAACAGTACAACATAAGAACGAACTATAAAAATCAGTTGAAAAAGGCTTAACTCATCAGATGGATACAAATAGCATACATCTAACAAAAACACAGAGTGGACGTGGCCGGGTACTTGTATATCCCAACAACAAAAAGACACTAAGTACTGATTTGAGAGTACTCGAAGTTACTGACAGCTAGTTCAAAGCCACTAACAAGTGATAAAAAAATCATGCATCTAAGACTAAATTATCAATCTGTACACATCCAACATCCAATGGATTTAGTGTACAGACGTCATAAACAGTCAGAGGAAAAACACGACCTTGTGTAATGCCAAGATACAGGTATCGACAGACTGTAGATCCATGAATGTGTATATGAATTATATAACAATAATATTTAGTTTGCTTTTAATTTACTGACAACAAAATCAATAGTGATACCAATTAAACAATTTTCAGTGATCTAATTACAGTGTTAAATTGGTAACCTTTTAGAATAAGTTTATTTCACGGATCGACAAGTTTACCAGGATCGTTTCTAAATTTCCGGGCACGGTAAACAACATTTCCATAAAAATAAGGATGTGCTATCCCATTTGAACTTCAAAACCAAATCTTTATATCTATGGAAGAATTTAGTAAAGGTTTTAAGTAATTTGTGGTAACGAAATCCCTGGCTTAATAATTTACCAATAATACATAGATTACTTTCGTTAAAATCAAAAACGTCACAACAGACACGGGCATAGCGAACGAGTTGTGAAATTCAAACACCATAAGATGGTGCCAATGGAACATCACCACCCAAAAAGGGAAAAATAACAATCGGGAACGAAAAATCGTCCCTTTTGTCGTAAATTTCGGCAGTATATTTAGAAAATTCTTGATTTTTTAACGAAAAAATATCATCAAGATAAAGGTAAGTGTTGTTGAATTTATCAGTTAAATGCAATTTTGACGGGTCTTTACTTAGTGTGGTCAGAAACTATGATTCATAACAATACAAAAACAAGTCTGCTATTAAAGGGGCACAATTATTGCCCATTGGAATACCTACAACCTGTCGATAAACTTTGTTGCCAAAACGTACATAAATATTATCAAGTGGAAATTAACAGCTTCAATCATCTCATCCCACCTCCAATAAGTATATCAAGCATATTTACCTTTCACATTAGAGAAGAAGGCTTTAAATGAATTGCAGCAAATATATTTGCATTCAGATTTACCAAACGACCATTTAATTAAATAAGAAAACTTTTGTTTGATAAGATTGTGTGGAGGTGTAGTGTAAAGAGTAGAAAATTCGCATTCAGATCTACCAAACGACCATTTAATTAGAGTAGAAAAGTCAAAACTGTCAACAGAATCCAAAAGACCATCAAAAACTTCTAATTTATTTAAATTATCCAATTTTTTTTCACTCCAAAATAGACGATTTTATGCTAAAACACGATATGTTTTCCACTCAAAGGGTGGGACATAAAATATTTTATAATATTTTGTGTACAATGTATATCTGAAATCAGTGTTTCCCAATCAAACCAGATAATAATAATTTTTTTTGTAATTTCTGCCGAAAAACAAATGTATTTTAGAATATCCAAATAAATAAAATCTGATTTGGATTATAGTTTCGTGCTCAATGGAATTAATTACGACTACTTAGATATGTATGCCTTTTAAGTTTTGGGATCGAATTTAATGAGGAACATATTCAAGTTTGTATCAAATCAGGTTTTGGGGATAAGCTACAGATCAATCAGATTTTGTTTAGAAGGACATGTCTTTAAAATTGATACAGTAAAAAAATGGAGGGAGGGGAAGTTAAAGATTGAAAAGTGTAACATTATTTTCTGTTTACATATTAATATTTTCAATTTAGGTACATCTCCACATCGGAAGGTCGACTATTCATATGTATTATATATTGATAGAAACAAGTGTCTGTGTACATCTCTCTTTGGTTCATCTTCCTAGAATTATTGAGGGAAAGAAAGATAATTAATCTATACACAATAACCAGTTTAGTTATGATTTTTCATGCACCGATTCAAAAGTACACTCAACGGAACTAAAACTGTATGAAATGTAGGTTACACGTCAATAAGACAGCAACCAAACGACAAGAACAAACTGAGGACATCTAGAAGGCAACATATAGTATAATTTCAACAATAGATAGGTGTCTACACAATATGTCCATTTCTAATTCGTCACTATAACATATTCTAGTTTGTATTCGTTTCTTCTTTGTTTTTAAGTTTCAAAGATTTTTTATTATGGCAGTCCATGACCATGATGACATTCTTCTTCTTTCATTTTGTTGCAAATCAGGCAAGACATAATCTCGTTTAATACAAGTTCAATTCATATTAACCTTTTAAACTACTTACAACAGGTACCATCGACTTCAACTGTATGGAGATGCCGTATGTACTTCGTAGCTTATCTTTTGAAAATGTGGTAGATAATATACCTAGTAACACGCGTCTGTCAAGATAAATGGCGAATAACAAAACACAATATTCGGTACCGTAAGTTTAAAAAAGAAAGTAGAACATGACGAGTCGAACATACAATATTGTATGAATAAAAGGAGAAAAGTGACTGTGCTCCAGTACCATTTTAGATCACAAGGTCACGATTAAAAATTGCCTCGGGTCACCAGGTCACTTTTAAGCAAACTAATCAGTTCTAAACTGATTTGATTCTCGGTTTAAACAATTTAAAGGTCACATGTACTTTCAAAAGAGACGTCAGGTCGGACTTGACAATGTTGTAGCCACATATAGGGTGAATGCATCCAACTTGAACATTTGGATCCTACTACCTAAAGTTATGTATGGCAAAGTGTCCATACCATTTACATATTTTGGCTATGGTTATTTCATTTGGGATACGTACATGTAAGTGTTTCATTCATGAATCAAATACCTTTCTTGGCACAAACTCATAAACAATAAATGATAAAAACCTATTGCCGATTATTGCATACACAATGATATTAATAGACGTGATCGAATGAAAAGTTATACATACTAATATATCATAATATTATTAATGATAACAATGTGTGGGACTATAAAGCATAGAAAATACAAAGCACAATAGAACTGGTATGTAGTGCGTTCTTTCTAGTGCGGCAATCAGTGAAGTTAATCCCAGTGTGTAATGTGTGTTCGAATAAACCGTTAATCACACGTTCTCTTTGGATTAAACGAGAATATAAAAAAAAGCAGAGACAGATCCAGAGTTTAAGGAAAGGGGGAGGCATAATTGTCCAAAAAGATAAACATACCACCAATGTTTGTTTTTTGACGATTTTTAAGCAAACGATTAGACGATATCAATCAAAAGGGCCCTCTAAACCCACATTGATCTTCGGCTATGTCAGGAAGATTTTCTATAGGTCGTTCCTCAAAATACAGATTTTGTTTCGTTTCGTTGTGTTTCGTTTCTCAATTTACATGTTTCGTTTCGTTTCGTCGTGTTTCGTTTCGTTTCGTTTCGGCATGTTTCGTTTCGTTTCGCTCTGTTTCGTTTCTGTTCCGTTTCTCACTTTACCTGGACCCGTAGCGAAACACATGACTGACATAATCAATAATATATTACAGTAAATACGAACGAAAAATATCTTTATAAGTAAAGAATTGTCGCATAAAAATTAAATACACGACCGGGAAATGGCAAAGTTCACGAAGTCTAGTCTGATTCATCATTTTACAAAAAAAAAAATAAAAATGAAAAGTTCAAGCAAAGGGGCGCCCTCTACGCCCCCCCTCTGGATCCGCCACTGTAGACTAAGGGAAATTTAGAATTATACATAATTATTGTGAAGATATGTGTCTGCTGTTGAAGCCTGTGTGGACCTCTAGATGTCATTTTACGTTGTATGGTTTCCTGTCTTATTGAAACATAAGGATAATAGAGGTTGTTGTCATTAAAGCGAATTCATTAACATGAGTATATTTTTAACTCAAAAAGCTACTATATGAAGGTAACGAGGAAGAACGATTGATGTAACCACTTTACTACAATCGGCATCATGGTTTGGGTAATCGTTACAGTGTCGCAATATATCACTTGGCGAGCGCCATTTTTAGCTCTCAAAATGTTTACATATCCACTATTTCAATCCGTCATTGTTAACTTTTTAAACGTTTCCCTGCTTTAACTCCTATTGAGATTCATGCGATTCTATAATTTTTCAAATTATCCTTGCCCATTTTAAACCTGGACTGCCCAGACTTGTTTTGAACGTCGGTATACTACCGTTACAGCAAATGTGGCCCTATACATCAAAGTTGATTATATGACATGTGTCGGAATTTTTATGACAATTAAATATGGTATATATATAATACGTTTTGTTATTTTTTTTATCTATATATATATATAAATATATAAGTGCATATAAATAGCAACACATAACATACAAATCTATGTGAGTGTGGATTAATCAGTACAATTACATAAATGAAATTATAAATTGCCTAACAATGTCATTTTAACACAATACTTAGTATGTAAATATCAAAATATCAAAATTATTTACAATGCGATAAAAAATAAACGCAATGTTTCGCTAGACAAACTAGCTTTATCGAGCGTGCATCTATCCAGGTGAAATCGGATGCAATTAAGAAACTTTTGCAGCTCATTGTACAGTGAATTTTTGCTGCTTAAGAAATAATATATATATATATATATATATATATATATATATATATCTTTAAATTATTTTCCGGCATGTTGAGGAAAAGACAGGGAGTATAGTTTTTGTTTTCAACAGGAAGAACAAGATAGTTCAACTACAGGAACAAAACATCAAAACATTTTCCTAGATGTTACGCAAAAGCCATAGAATAGTTTTGAATCCCAAAGGGAGAACAAAACTGTAAAACTACATAAACAAAACATTAACACAAACAATTTTATTTTGTTATGAGGGGCCCACAAACGGACACAATGTCTCAGTGGTCAACACATTGCTATTTATAAAACTTTATTTTTAAAGTAACATCGGGAATAACCAACTGCATCAGCGTGAGATTGGTTGCTAGTGTACAGATTATATTTACAATACTTAAATTGATTGGTTTAGCAACTATAATTGGCGGCGGAATCCTAATGTTATCTAAAGGTAAATAGACACACTGCTTAAATACATCACTTGGGTATAAATAACGGAACTATATACAACTGTCATAAAAATGGGAGGTATAGCTAGAAACCCGGAGTAACAAACTATAAGCCTGGTATCTTTGGTGATTATTTAACCCACCATTTTCTTAGGAAAATGCCTGTACCATTATAGGAATATCACAGTTTTCGCGTCGTCTCCTTTGTTGAAATAGTCGAGCGTTTGGTTTTGTAAGATTTTATGGACTTCTACTTTTTGAATTTATTCTTGGAGTTTGTTATTTTTTTTTTATTACATTTTCTATTACTTCTTAAGTATGTCAAAGAGGCATTGTTTTCAATTTGAGCTTTTTCATGTTGTAAAATACTTGCTGCATGTTCATTCCTAATCATATGTTTTATTGTTAATTCCTTTACAAAACATTGTTATAACTAAAAGTTGATCATTATATTTATATCTGCAGGGGAAAAGGGAAATCAGGATCTTTAGACAATCCGTCATCAGTGAACATACTACAGTTTGTCTAAAAAGATTGTTTTTAAGAATAAAAAAAAATTAACAAGGAAGGAAATTGTAGTAAATTACTATCACGGTCTTAGATCCTTATTTACCAGTATAGTCGTCTAATTTGCAATTTTACGGATATCTCCTATTCTCAATTTTGACATTTTGACTGGATTTGAATGTTCATGGCGGATTACGCATGCATAGCAAGATTAGTTTACATTGTCCATTCATTCGGTCCTTTTGGAGCTCATGCAATTCCATCAATTTTTTTTATTGATACTTTGATTTGTATATTCTTTATCGGTTTATGTGATTTGAACATCGGTAAACTATTGTTGCCGAAGTATAGCACTAGTGGTGTCAAGGATGTGAAACAGATAAACGGCAAATATACCAATGAATAGCTAAAATATGAATAAATAATGTAAAAAGAGGTTCGACAATTAAAATACACAGTTAGAGTTTTAATATGGTTGCTAAATAAAGGAATCCACCAAATAACTGACCGGTTCTCTAAAGTTTGATCAAAATGTAAATAGAGCTTTTTTTCTAATGGTAATTGAATTTGAGTGAACATAAATTTGAATAAAATAATATATAAGTTTTTAAAAAAATATGCTGTGTTTAAAGATGCATGACTGAAATAAATACACTATTTTGTCATTTGTTTCAAAGATGCTTTTTCTTTTCTTTAGAAGTGTTTGTTCATCGTTTTTAAGTTCATCGTCTCACTTAATGCGAACAACAATTTCATATTCAATATTTGTTTTCATACAAAAAATATTTTTCATCAATTTTGATAGGAACAGTTGGAAGCTTACCAACGGGCTTTGAAGACAGTATAGATAGCCCAACAAGTATCGCAACTGCCATTTATAGTGGTCTCTGGGCATTTGGCGGTTGGTATGTAAATCATATGTCATTAGTACAATGTATACTTCTGCCCTCTGAAAGGAAGTTGAAATCTGTGTACGTTTACCATACTAGTATTTTAAAACTACATCAGATAACAAATGTAAAAAAAAAGTCTCACACAAATCACCTATGAGACAATAGTTTTTTATGGTTTGCTAATTTTAAGAAATATACGATTATCAACTTACTTTATTAGCATTCAATTAAATGATTCATCAAGCATATCAAATGCTATTATTATTACAATTACCTTTCAAATTTTTAAGTATTGTCACTTGACGCTTCACAGCCATCTTCATCATTAGCAGCAGCAGCAAGACCAGCATCATCATCAAATTGTCATGGGACCATTCGGGTCTTTACCCATGTTTATATTGTACAGGAATTCAATCAACTTATAGAATGATGAAAGTCGGGTTTTGCTGGAAAGATGTAATGTTTCTTCTAATTCATCAGCATATTTCAACCAAAATGAATGTGAATAAATTGACAATGTGTAGCTCACTTTGTTCACATGTTCAGAGAGTTTTAGCTGTTTTTTTCCAGATGGCAAAACTCAGTCAATGTTCAGCAATGTTATCAATAGTTTTCACCCAGAGCTTTCAAACTTTTCTAGCATGTTTGTATATACATTGAGGATGTGCACAAACTGTGAAGGCATTCGGACATCTTTTGAAAATTGTTCATATGGTGACTTAAATATCATTCTCGATGCAGGGTACAAATAATCGGTATATATTAATATAATAAGTTGCTATTGGCTTTAAACTAGCTGTCAGTAACTGCAAGTACTTTCATATCTGTACTTTGTGTCTTTTTTGTTGTGAGGGATGTATAAATTCCCTGCCACATTCGGTCTGTATTTTTGTTAGTTGTTTTTCTTCTTTGTATTGATCTGATGAGTTGAACCTTTTGAACTAATTTTTGAATGTTTGTCTTCTTATGTTATACTGTTACACCACTGTTCCAGGTTTGGGTAGGGTTTTTGTGCCAGCAAAGATGTTTAACACAGCCACATTCTATGTGTGCATATCCCAAGTCAGGAGCCTGTAATCAAGTTGTTGTCGTTTTTTGCTGTTTCTCATATTTGTTTTTCGTTTATTGTTTTGCATAGTTTTTTCATGTGTTCCCAGGTTATGGGAGGGTTTGCACCTTCAAACACCTTCGTGTGACATTTCGAATCAGTGTGGATTCGCATGGCGGGTGATGCTTGGTAGCAGGAGACATCTTTTTCCCTGTCGACGAACATGGTCTCGCTCCATTTTGGAGTTCATGTGATTCTATAGTCTTTGTTTGTCACTTTGGTTTGAGTTGTTCAAATCGATTTATGAGATAATGAGGTAATTTTTATTTATATTTTAGGACTCAACTGAATTTTGTAACAGAGGAGCTGAAGAATCCTAAACGGTATGTTGTATGAAACTTAGAATTCAACGGATTCGGACTATTCAAATATCAAATCCAAAATGACAACAAAACATCGCATGTAGAAAATAAAAACAGCTCAACACATAGTACAATCATACAACATCAAATATTCTAATCATATTACACAAGACAATTGATGACAAAAATGTAGTATTATAACTGAAGTTATTGAAGAACATACCTCCGATCATCATAAATACGCGTTCAACGTATCTGAAGCAAATCCATGCTTTAATATGGTATGAAATAGTATAGTTTCATTTTTAGCTGTCCATTAATCAGGTATTATAGAGTAAAGCGTTCTTTCTGCATTTTTATTTTGAGCTTTACTATGTACCTTATGGTTATTCCGCTAATCGAGATTAAAATATGGAGCGTTCGGTGTTAAAAATTTAGTAGAAGGCAGCCACAGGTTCATGTACCTTACCTTAGTATTAGACTACATCTGTTGTTGTCTAAAGTATATCTTTATGTGGCTGGTATCAGGTTCATGTACATTACCTTAGTATTAGACTACATCTGTTGTTGTCTAGAGTATATCTTTATGAGGCTGGTATCAGGTTCATGTACCTTACCTTAGTATTAGACTACATCTGTTGTTGTCTAGAGTATATCTTTATGTGGCTGGTATCAGGTTCATGTACCTTACCTTAGTATTAGACTACATCTGTTGTTGTCTAAAGTATATCTTTATGATACTGGTATCAGGTTCATGTACCTTACCTTAGTATTAGACTACATCTGTTGTTGTCTAAAGTATATCTTTATGATACTGGTATCAGGTTCATGTACCTTACCTTAGTATTAGACTACATCTGTTGTTGTCTAAAGTATATCTTTATGATACTGGTATCAGGTTCATGTACCTTACCTTAGTATTAGACTACATCTGTTGTTGTCTAAAGTATATCTTTATGATACTGGTATCAGGTTCATGTACCTTACCTTAGTATTAGACTACATCTGTTGTTGTCTAAAGTATATTTTTATGTGGCTGGTATCAGGTTCATGTAGCTTACCTTAGTATTAGACTACATCTGTTGTTGTCTAGAGTATATCTTTATGAGGCTGGTATCTATGATGAGTTTATTTTTCCTTTAAAAAATTTTGCTGTTATTAGCGGATCTTTAATAGTATCCGTTGAGTTTTTTCTTAAGACATTCTACCTCGCTGCGATTTAGAGCTTTAAATACTGTATGGACAATTGTCTTTTGTAAAAGATCGTACATTGACTACATAAAATCGTTTGCTTTTTTGTGTCGTTTTGGTTTCTTCTATTGACGTGTACTGCTCATCTTTTCTTCGTAATGAACTATCTCCGTACACTATCAAACGTAGATAAGTTTTCAAATATGACGCATTAATAAAATAAACTTCACTTTTAAAATCCTAGGAATCATTTTTGACCGTTAATTTTATTCTCCAAATGGGTCTATACGTTTACTGGTGGACTGTTAGTCCCACTTTGTATCGCTAGCCCAGTTGCTAGTACTTATGTACTGAAATGATAATACGAATATTTGTACTGAAATCTGCTGTTTTGAAATCATTCAAAATTTAGGAATGTATCTTCCTTAAGTATAGATCTGATTCCTTGTCTGGGTTTGTTAATCATTTTTTTTTGTTATTTCAGCCCTTCAACTTTTGTACTAGGTTCTAGATTTTCAAATAAAACGGCCTCGAGAATCTCTGAAGAGCCTTATGTTGTTGAAATGTGCATCTGGTAAAGTAAAGTTGCAGCCAAAACTGAGTAAACATACATCACATTGATGGCCTTCGGCTGTTTTCTGCTCTTCGGTCGGGTTGTTGTCTCTTTGACACATTCCCCATTTTCATTCTCAATTTTTACACATAATAGTTTAGAACATGAAACATGGACACATTGTGTAAAAATGTTTTGGAGAAATTGTACAACTTAAATAAATATTTGTTCAGGTAGTCCCCTCCAAACAGCATAAAATGAGGTCATGCTAATTAGACAAATATACACCTTTGACCAATAGAATTTAAAATTAAGATCTATAGGTCATCAGACGGCTGTCAGAAATGGACGTTGACAAAATAATATTAGTTAGACTATTAATAATCTGGAGTAAATGAGAGTAACACTTTATCAATGCCATGCTTCCGAAGTGGCTTTCTGTGTTTACTTTCATCAGAAACGCTCAAACCTAATCATTTGAAAACTAGGCATGTAAAAGTACGTAGTAACATTAGATACTATATGAGCAAAATGGACTTGTAGTTCAGTGGTTGTCGTTGGTTCATGTCTGTCATATTTGTTTTTGGTTAATTGATTTGTTATAAATTAGGCCGTTAATTGTTTCATATTTTTTATGTCGAGGCCTTTTACAGCCGACTATACGGTATGGGTTTTTCTCATTGTTGAAGGCCGTACGGTTGACTATAATTGCTTACATCCACTTTATTTGAACTTTGGTGGATAGTTGTCTCATTGGCAATCATACCTCATCTCCTTATTTTTATATTATAATAAAAAGAATATTGCCAAATTCATCAACGGTCAATTTTGCAGGAGAGGGAGTTTGAACCTAAGTTTCTTCATTTATTAACAGGGAATTTTGGTACTGTTTGTTATAAATCATGTCAGTACCGAAGATCTGACTACTGAACTGATGATACTCTGGGTGACTTACAGTCCACCAGCAGAGGTATCGACCTAATGCTATTAAATGAAAATAACTCTTTATATTTCAGTAATCCAGATGTAAATAATGGAATGAAAAGAGAGAAAGATAAATTTATTTATTTAGTGCACAAACATACTAATTATGGGCAGACATTTATCTATTAGTTGAAATAGGGCTTTGGACTAGCTTTAAGAACTCTTAGATCGCCATTTTGTGTCTTTTGTTTTTTCTAATGCACTTGTGTATTTACTTGTATCAAAACTGAAAAAAAGGAATAAGGACAGTTTACAAAAGTAGTTTTCTACTAATATGAATTTTCAGTTTGAAACATCTTCATAGAAAATGAGTATCATAAATACACTTTAAAAGTGGGTATTGGACTCCTATTTCTACTGAGTCAATATCCAAACTAATCTAATAAATATTAAATCACTGTTCGCATTATGGTATACCAATTTACTACCAGGTACAGGCACTTTAACGGAGAAACATTTTTTTTTCATTTCAGAAACTTGCCATTATGTATTATAACATCCTTATTTCTGGTACTTGTTGTATACCTCATGGTGAATGTGTCCTACTTCACGGTTTTAACCAAGGAGGAATTTGTATCGTCATGGGCTGTGGCAGCGGTATGAACTATCATAATTTACTTAGCATTGGTCCATAAGTATCACATAAAAGCTGATTTCTTTTCCATATGTACAAAGTATTTGATAATATCTGCTTCTATACTTCTGTACACATACCCATCGAATTTAATTGTGACCAAAAGTGAGATGAGACTCCGGTAGTGTACGCGTATCCAGACTGTTATTGTATGCGCTAACCGTTATATTATACTGATATAAAAATAAGGAGATGTGATAGCCATTGAGACAAATGTCTATAAAAGTCCTATGAACAAAGATGTGAACAATTACAGGCCACCTATTTGAAACAAAACCAACGGCCTGATTTATAATGATAACCATCAATAATAATAATTATGGCATCCTTTAATGAAACAATTAATATCAGCACATTAGTTTGCAAAAAGCGCCTGTGCGCTTCGTGTGAAATGTACTTTGGTGTGCTTAATTTGGGAAAAGAAAGAGAAGGATAAGATTCCAAAGGGGGGGGGGGGCAATTAAATCAAAGGACGAAGGGTAACCAGACAACACCACACGAAAAATACAAGCGGACAAACTAAGGATTGAACAACATATGTACCCAACATTAAACCGAGGTTATACTCCAGAATGGTAAGCAATTTCCGCTGCATTAGTGACACCCATTGTTGACATTGTTGCTCATGACAAGCAACATTTCGATAGTCAGTCACATTTGATGTGTTATAAAGGAGGAAAGGAGAGGGAACTGTGGAAAATCACAATTGGAACATGCCGTTACCACCTTAAACAATGATTTTCCATAACGGTCAACCAAATCATCATAGCGACTGTCATTAAGGCGACAGTAGTTTGCCGGTGATAAAAAAACTTTCGAGACAATGACTTCAAGTTCACTATCAAAGAACCCTGGTAAACAGCTACTATTTTAAGATAATCGTGCACTGGAATTGCCTAACAACTAGGATATATATACATATGGAGCTACTGTTGGACTTTATCTACAATAAAATTAGAAAATCTGCAATGATTTCTTTAATATATTTTTATAAGTTTCAGTATATAAATCATAGATCTCGAGTTACATTTATATATAGACTTGGGCGGAGTATGTTTTGCCTGGAGCAGTTGTTATCATTCCCATCACTGTAGCCTGCTCTGTATATGGTTCAATGAATGGAGCAGGGTTGGTTGTCGGAAGGTATGTTTACAAACTGAGTTCTGATTTCGAACGATACACATTTTTTTTAAATAGATTGAGACCATTTTCGAATTTTGTTTTATTTTTATCTTATTAAATCTTGTATATGTACAAAGTTACTGGCATTTCAAATCATATTCTTTCGTCGCAAAAAAGAAATACGCCAGTTTGGTGCAAATTTTTCTATTATTTTATTTCAGAATAGTTTTTGCAACAGCGCGTGAACAATTGTTTCCAGAATGTCTTAGTTACCTTAACATCAACACAAATATCCCGGTACCATCAACTATACTTATTGTAAGTTTTGAACAATTATGTCTTTGTTTTGTTCGTCTTAGATGCTACAAGAAGTATGTATCCCTTAGATGACAAATATTCGTTATATCAAGAACGGTCAGGAAATCAAGCATTACATAAGGTTTGAAGAACCATTTTACCAAGCAATAAATACGCTTTTAGAACGATAATCGCATAATATTCATGCACCGGTTGGTCGGAAAGGGTACTGGTATCTATACAATCTGGAAAAACAATTTTATATGGCTTTTTATTTTATTTGCATTCCTTAAAGACCTCAAACGATAAAAAGACATCTTTTGGAATTAAAAAAATAAGGGTTTACAGCACCCTGCATAACAAGTAAACAGTTATTTAATCGTTGATTACAAATGAGAGTAAATATGTTAACTGTTCGCGAGATACAGTTTAGCAAGCATGACTTGTTTGAGAGATGAATGTAAAATTGAACATGAACTTTTTTTCTCAAGGGAGTAATGCATTTTGCAAGTTTGGTAAGCACGAAAGAGGAAACTATTGTGTACATCGCACAACTAAATGGCAGACTTGTTTGAAATGGTGTATTGCATTTTCCCTTTCCTATCAAAATACAAGAAAATTATAATGTGTCTGTATTTTTCTTATGATCTTGGTCATGTTAATCAAATGACTTCCAATCACGTGATTTCGCGTCATCAAGTACCGTATTTCATCAGATTGATTTTGGACATTTTTCAAAATTGCCTTCTCGAGAAAAGTATTTCGCTTTCCCTTAGAGTGACAGGGCTTGTTGATCAACTATAGACTTTGGACCTGTTCAGATTATATTGACCGAAGACGAAGTCCGAGGGTCAATATAATCTAACAGGTCCATATATAATGTATTGACTGTAGTGAAAGTCCTTAATTTATATATTACATATGTAAGTAGTGTATTATGGAAATAGATTTCAATGTTCTTTCCGTGTATTTTACATTGTGTTTTGCAAGATTTTTAATATTGACTGTCAATATATATATATATATATATAAATAGAAACATAGCGTCAGGTACATGAAATACCCTTTGAATTACGTGATCATATTTACCAATGAAAAAAGAAGAATGCTACATCATATGTAATATAATTATTTATATATTAAGCCTTTGGTCAATCTTTTTTTTAAGTAGAAAAGGATACAATAATCAGTCAAGCTTATACTAAATACGAAAATAAAATCAAATTCATCATTGATATTTTTACTGCAGAGTATAATAGCCTTTGCGCTGATCATACCCTCAGATATCAAGTCTCTGCTGAACATGCTGGAGTTTCTAAGGTGGTTCTTTTATGGTCTTAGTATGATAGTTCACATTGTGCTCCGATACAGGATGAAAGATGTAGATAGACCATTGAAAGTAAGTCAGAAATACATTTCCCGCAATTACAAAATGTAAACAAAAAACTCTATATGTCAATGAAGGATATGAAGTCCTTTAATTATGGAAAGCCAACGGGGTCAAAATTCTTAATTCGTAAATTGTCAATTTGTAACTTTTATCTTTGTAATTTCAAAATTCTTAATATTTGTAAATTGTCAATCTGTAACTTGTAACTGTGTGATTTCAAAATTCTCTATTGGTAAATGTCAATTTGTATATTGATGTTTTGTAACTTGTAACATGTCAATTCGTTGAATGTCAATGTGTTAAATGTCATCGTTGTATTATGCTAACGATCATTATGACGACAGGTGGCGCTCGGTTTCTTCTTCTGTGTATAAGCCTCCTGTAAGTAGGAGCACCTCCATATGGTGTATATACCCAAGTAATTTAAATCAATTATGTACAGCAAATGCATCTAAAAGAAAACAAATAGAAAAATATTGTTTGTTTATGGCATGTATACAGGAACTCGGTTTTATTTTGTTTCTGAAGACGACGGGTGGCGTTTCGTTCGAGAACGGAAACTATATAAAAATACAATCCGAATAGTTCAGTCCCTCCACGTAATCGATCTCTCCTACTTGCGAGGTTAATGAAGTAGTCGTAGATCAACGACTGAATTATTTGGGTAAACAGTAGGGATGTCAACTCGGTGAAGATTTACTAATCGAGTACTCACTAGATTTACCGAGCGATACTCGAGTAATCGCTCGGAAAAACATCTACAAAATGCAACACAAAATTATACCCATTTTACGTATTGTGGGTCGTTGTCTTATGGACGTAAAACCCACAGCATTATTACAAAGGAATAGATAAAGCCCCATGAATTTTATATCACAATTAAAAGCTTATTTACTACATGCACTAGTTATGTAAACTGGCAATAATCTAATCAATCAATTAACATACATCTATAGAAAAATGTTAACTCAAACAACATTATTTGTAAAATTGTTAAAAAACACATTTAATGATCAACTAAGGGGTGATGATTAGAACTTATTGATGCCTTTAATCATTCTCTGAGGGTCGACACACGGTGCAACGAATTTGTTCTTATTTAGAAATATTATCCTTTCAACTTTTTCTGGGACGAGTCTATTTCTCGACTTGGAAAGGTGCTCTTGTTCATATCCTGCATCTGTTCGAGGGAAGTTTAAATGACAATTAAACACATACATTCGAAGCGTATTTTAATTTTGATTACTTTTGATTAATATTTAATTTCCACGGAGGCGCTGTTAATAAAAATATTTTTTCTTTAAGAAAGCAACAACATTCTAACAGAAACCAATTAGTCGAGTATCATTTTGGTATTCGATACTCGGTACTACCGAGCGATACTCGAGTAATTGACATGACCAGTGAAATATATGCGGTTTTCTTGTATTCTGGTGGGCAATATCTCAAATTCCTTATCAAGAATCCTAGTGTTGAGTTTGCCTTCTTGGCTACGTTGGAAATAGTGGGTAGTCCATTTTAGGTCCTCGTTAAGTTTTCTGGTTCCTTTAGATTTTATTACAAAATATTGCATATTCAATACAGTTTTCATATAAAGTATACATTAACTAAGTGACTCATTTAAAATAAAACTTCATTCAATTTGTTTTGCAAAGTACAAACATGATATAAAACATTTTTATCTTCATTACTCAAGAGCCAAATAAATAAAGATTTTTCATCCATTTGCTTCTGGTATTAAAAAATCATTAGATAATTACATTATTTTCCCAAATTTTAACATTGAGATTATAATATTAAGTAAAAATGGGTGTCAACCCATTTCTCCCATCATACATTTAGTCCAAAATTTACGGCCCAGAACAATATAAGTATGAATTTTCCAGCTCAGTCTTATATTTCATGTATTTAGTCTAATTTTGACCCGATCAAATATTAAGAAGAAATTGCCTGCCAAGTGACAGTAATATATTTGCGAAGTTGATAAGAGAGCCCATTCCAGCGACACATCTGTATATACCTTAATACAGGAAGTGACACACTCCTTCCCAGGTGTGGTGACCAGTACAGTAGACATACATGTTTATTCGAGGTCACCTCTATATAAAACCGAGTCCCTGGTATATATGCCATATTAAACAAACAATGTATTTATCTATTTATTTTTCTTTTATTTATATGTATGTGCTGTACATAATTGATTTAAATTACTTAGGTATATACTCCATATAGAGGTGCTCTTACTTACAGGAGGCTTATGCACAGAAGAAGAAACCGAGCGCCATCTGTCGTCATAATGTTCGTTAGCATGATTATGGCACGCCTGAACAACTTTTATAGATAATCCTAGATTATCTCAGATAAACTAGGATCATCTCAGATAAATTATCTCACTATTTTACATTAAGCTCAGATAAACCGGGATTATCTCGATTTTTTTCAGATAATCCCGGTTTATCTCAGAATTTTAAGATAAAGCGGGATTTTCTCAGCTTAATGCATATTTGAGATAATTCATTATATTCCTCACAAAATTAGATAAATAATTAACTGGAGAAAATCCGGGATTATCTGAAAATTCTGAGATAATCCGGGATTATCTGAGAATTTTGAGAAAATCGATTAACTGAAAAAAAGTAGCCAATAGAAAGCCACGACACATTGGAGGAAAATTTCATGGTCATAAGGGATAAGATATAGATACAATGGTGCATCTATACAGATAGAGAAGAATGAAAGATTACGCTCTTACGGGAAACGTTTTAGAAGTTTTAAATTTCCAAATTTGATAAAAATAACAATTGATTTATTCAGGATGTACATGTATGACAAGTGTATCGATAATAATGAAGATCAGAGGGATCTAGAATTTAGAAGTTTGTCTTGAGAGGTTTTTTGAAGAGAATTTGAATGTTATATCCGTATTTGTCTTTATGAAGATAGTGAAATATGTTACATAAATCTGGCATTCGCACAATTAACTAGGACAAATAAGTAAAATGTTGAAATAAGTTAAGCAAAGTTGAAATACACCATTTCGAAGTTCTAATGAGTTTCCTTTTAGAAAGTTATAATCTTTAAAAAAAAAAATATCACGCGCCGTTTTTCTTTCCTTAATTTTCCCTATTAAAAGAGTAAAATATGGTGCAGGAATTTATCATCCATTTATTGCAAAGTGTTACATTTTAGTACTTACTTGGTAAGTTGTATAAAGTGTTTGTTGTCAATTAGATAATCTAATCATGATAATGACAAATGCCCAATACCTGAAATATTTATTACCTTACAACTAACAAACCCTGTTAAAACGGGGTTTTGATCCCTGAAGGACGCCACACTTTGCAATGAATTAGATCTATATTTGTTAACGTTTTCAAATTAAATAAACTGAATGGATTTCTTAAAATTCTCAAATGGCTTTAATATTATTACAAACAAAACGAAACTTTTATTTAACATTTTTTGCAACTTTTATTTTTATTTTTGTTCTAAGAAAACCTTTCTTGCTTGGTTAACTAGTATGTGTTGATTACCTTCACTAATTACTAAAGATCAGACGACCTAATTAAGGATTTGTATAGACCAATCGTGTTACGTATCTCCAGTACTTCTCCATGGATAAGAGCTAAAACTACCAAAAACAAGTTCACCAGAATTAATCGAAAACTTCCAGAAAAAGCTACTAATAAGCTTATACTCTCATTACCAACTTATGTAGCAGATGTTACTATCAACATCCTAAACGGAATACTACCAGTAGAAGCCCAACTACATATCCGAGTACTTGGACTATTGAACAACATCTGTAATCAGCCCGAAAAAAGCATAGATAAATTGCTAGCTGACGACAACTTAAACTGAAAAATAGCCAAAGTTCTAGTTGCGTGTCGCTATAAAACATATGCCCAAGAAGTACGATCTACAAAATGGTACATGGACAACACCGTCAAAAAAAAATTATGGACCTCCAACATCAAGAAAACAGTACAGAGCTTCTAGTCTTAGAGTAACTTCAGTAAAACGCAACACTGTATTTTAGCTTCGAAGGCCGTACGGTGACCTATAGTTGTTAGTTTAAACACATTTTATTGTTCAAAAATGACAAATGGATTAGACACAAGTTTTTCAGCTTAGTAACGTCTTCTCCTATTGTTGTCAATTTCTGTGTCATTTGGTCTCTTGTGGAGAGTTGTCTCATTGGCAATCATACCACATCTTCTTTTTAATTTCCAAAACGACGAGTGTAAAAAAAAAGCAAATATGCAAACATACAGCCTGATTTATATTTACAACAAAAACAAAATGAAATACAGGAACAAAGACTCAATTACACAATATGTCATGACGGAGGAAGGCACATGCATTTTTGGAAGGGGCTAAAAAAAGGTCTAGTGCCAAACCATACCTTAAACTGAAACTATACATATGGGATAAGACCGAAGTCAGAACTTATAGTAAAAATTTGTTGAAAAAGGTCCAGGGTACCGTTTCACAAAGCCTTCGTAAGTCTACGTGTCATTGTACGTTCATCGTAAATAAATCGTAGGTTTTACAGCCGTTTCACAAAGCCGTCGTAAGTTAAGATGAGCGTAAATAATACGTAAATCCTGGCGTAACTTACTACAGCTATACCCAGTCGTATCTCGATCGTAGTTTTTCCGCGAATATGAATTAAACCATATCTAAGATGGCTTTATTCTCGATCAAGATGCCGCAAATGTTAGAAGACGAAGAAGAATCTTCAATATTAGAACCACACTTTCTTCGTTTGATCATTTTTTAAATGAAATGGATATTATATCCAGATACAGACTGGATAGACACAGTATCAATGAAATAACATTGGCAATAGAACCAGATATAAAACATGATACAAATAGGTCCCATGCACTTACTCCTGAAACGCAGGTTTTGTTAGCTTTGCGCTACTCACTGGTTCTCCAGTAAAGCACCCATTTTATGACGCTGATTTGTCCCACCGTAACAAAGCAAAACTAACGACTTCGAGT